TATATGTCTTGCAAGGCAGTTCTTTGCCTTTTGCAGGAAACATTTTTTTAAGGGGGAAATCATTGTAAAATTAACATGGTGATTAGGAAGTAAGGCAAGCAAGCGGTATCGTGTACAAACTCAGCTGCATTTTCTTGTGAAAGAAAGACTTTAAATTCATTTCCAAAATGCTATGATTAGCTCATTTGGGCCATTACCACTTGCCTTCTGCCCCTCTTTACAAGTTATCAGCCACTTTGTGTATTTGCCTCATAGAACAATTGGGCCCCACCCTGGTGATTCTCCCTGGCGATGAATAACTAATTGAAATGTCCACCAAGGAGGAAAGCAGGTTTCCCCCAGAACCTCAATCTTTCCTGGAGCATCCGTTGTTCAAGTAGGTATCAGGGTGCTACTGAGGTCCCAAACCACCCCAGGTAAGGAGGGTTTTTACAAAACTTGGTTGAAAGGCATTTTCTTTTACTACAGTGTTTTGTATTTGAGGCAGGTGCAGGACTGAGAAGACAAGGTTAAATCAGGGATAATGACACACAGTTGTAATACTGTAGTGACAGTTACGTGGTTTGGGGGTGGGGCACGCCGATGACACCCCAGTGTTGAAATGGAAGTTTTCACAGAAACATATCCACACAGATCAGAATTCACAGCCCTGCAGTTTGATTCAGTGAATGTTTATGGAATTAGCCAAAGGCGGAGCTGCTTGATTTGGGATCCAGGACCACCCACACCATCCAGGATGTTTCTTAAAAATACAAACTCCTGAGACCTACTCCAGATCTACTGAAACCAAATCTGCTCTGTAAGGAGGCTTTCTGGGTAATTATTAAGCACACTAAAGTTTAAGCCACCTGAGACCTTTGTTTTACTCATTAATGTATCCAGATGCCTAGAATAGCAATTGACACAGCTCGGTAAATACCTGTCAAGGTCCCAAGTGACTGAGGCACTTGGAGGCTCCAATTATATGGGTATCTTCCACACCATCTTATCCAAAAAGCCGTCATAAAACAAGTATCATTTAATGTGAAGGGGACCAAAGTTTTGCCACCCCAAAATATGCGTTTTGGGGTATTGATTTAAGCTGAGTTTCAAAAACAAAACTCAGAAACGTTTACCCTCCTCCTTACCTTCCTGCCTAAAGGAATTCAGATGGAAAAGCCTGTTTAAAGAAGGCAACATCACCTCAGCATCATAATAAAAATAAGATATGGCAAACTGGGAAAAATTTAACAAATACTCTTTGTTGAATTTCCCTGTCCCATTGTTTCTGGATGGCCCAGCAAGGATTTGTTTACCACCTATTTGCTCTTGTCTACTGGAAATTACCTGCTTTTCCTTTGAAATTCCTGATGCCTGCCTCCTTCTACTTTGTCCAAAATGGCATGTAAACCTCAACTGCCCCATGCGTCTTCAGGTCTCATGTCTTATGGCACCCCCTTAGGTACATTCACAATAAATTTTGGACATTTTCTCCTTAATCTGTCTCGTGTTAATTTATTAGCCCAGCTAGAACTTGGAAGGTGAGAGGAAAATTATTTTTTTGTGCCTCCACAAATGTCATATCCCCTAAGGGACCTTCCTAGCTAGGCTGGGGGGTGGGGAGGGCAGGGGAAGATCTTCTAAGTGCCTAATAGCCTCAGCAAACTGTCTCCACCTTAACAGGACTCTCTGCCTGTATTTAACTGCAAAAGCTGTGACAGAGACCAGCCCCACAGCTTGACATCCTTAAAAAGTTAAAAAAAATAAAGGAACTAATAAAACCAATTAAGGTATAAGTAAGGGCCTAGATTCAGCATGGGAGCTAATATCTCTCTGCTCACCACCCATAACTGAAGCGAGGCAAACTTCTGTAAGACACAGTGTTACTTGTAGGCAGAACAGCCAAGGGATCAAGTTTCCTGCCTAATCATTCAAACCACAGGAAAGAGAAGGCAAAAGAAATGCAATCTTTCTTTTGTATGTACACTGTGCCAAGACTGTATTATTTTATGATTTATTAAGAACCCACTGCATCCTTAACAGATGAAAGGATAAAGAAACTGGTAGATCTATACAACAGACTACTACTTAGTAATAACAAACTATTGCTACACACACGAATCTCCAATGCATTATGCAAATGGAAAAGGCAACCTCAAAAGATTACATACTGTAGAATCCTCTTTATGACATCCAGAAAAACTATAGGGGGTAGGGAAAGGATCCATGGCTGCCTGATTAGGGTTAGGAGTAGGGGATAAGTTTAACTACAAGGGTGTACGTAGCACAAGGGAATTTTTTTTGGGTGATGAAACATCACCCCAACTCAACCCTAATTGAGTTGGTAGTTACATGAACCTATGCATGTGTTAAAATTCAGAACTGTACCCCCCAAAACCAGTGAGTTTACTGTAGGTGAATTATATTTGAAAATAACCCATTGCATACATAACATAAACTCATTAGGTCTCTGAGGGCCCTGAGACAATTTCCTTCCCATGATCAGTTTATCAACATGGGACACATGGGAACACGTGATCTTGAAGTATGAGTGTGAAAGTCAGGGAACACTGCTCTACCACATGGTCTATGCTAAGTACATCATACCTGGTGCCAAATTTAGCAGGTTATCAACTGGAAACCATTTTGTAGAAAATTCCTTTATTATAGTGCAAATAACTTTCAGCAGGGACATAATAATGTAAGAACACATTTAGCACATGTTACACCACGCAGTAAAATAAGAAAGTGTTTCTTTGAAAATATCTCATCAGAGGAACATTATTTCTACATTAATGCCAGAAAATGCCAAGGCTGCTTTTCTCAAGGAAACGGAGCTTCCTCCCTCTTTTGGATATTTTCTTTTTTAATACAAATGAAAGGATTTGCCATTTTAACAAATCACCATCAATTCTACAAGTGATCTGTTAGAGGGTTTTGAACTGGGGTTGGCAAGATTTGAAATGGGGTTTCAAATTTAAAAAAATAATAATTTTAAGACAATTCTGGGACAGCCCAGGAAGTAGAAGTCACTTCTATTAACTTTTTAGTAGAGATACACACTCACTCTAATTTTGATACAGAAATGGACGGATTGTCTAAAGCCTGCCTTTTATTCCCCCAGAGCCTGATTGTTAGTTACACTCCTTGGTTTGGGTCATATTTGCAAAATGAGGGCTCTGGTTAGAAATAACTCCTTGCATACCCAAATGCTTGCCTGTGAAGCTTTAAATTGCACTTTCCATCCTGAATTCCCACCTTAGACCTCACAAGCCAATGAGAGGATGTGAACATTGTTTCCAGCTTACGGCTAACGATTAATACAGCTAGATTAGGACCCTGCTAATTTAGTTATATCTGAATCAGACCATCACACCATTTATATGAATTCCAATAGGCTTACCCAAGAGGTTCCCACTGACCTCACAGGGAAATGAAGGGTTAACAGTGTGTCTTTACATGAAGCTGCCTAAGGGCTTGGCTGCTAACCAGTCAGCTGATAGGTAGAGTACAGAGTGTCAATTCCAATCAGTTATACTCCCACCTCCTCTAGTTTCTGCTGAATTATGCAGTGCATGGGAATGGATGGCCACTCAAAGGAAACCTCCACTTGCGAGTCTTCCACCACAAGCAGAATCAAAACCCCTACAAACAGAATATTTCAGGGTGCCCTTTAAGTCTCTCTACAAACACTCCTCCTCAAAATCTAGTGGCTTTACGAGTCATGAGAAGTTAATCACAGGCTTGAAAAATCCCTGGAGCCACAGAAGAGCCCTCTTGACTGAATATGGCTGATTAAGTCAGCTGGTCCATAAAGCTTTTCAATGCTCAGCCTGTCTTGTTGGATACAGTATCTTCTTATATTAACACAATGGAACTGTGCTACACAGTTTCAAAGTGGAGAAGAATCCACATATCTCACCTATAAAAAATTCACAATTTTAGTTTGCCTCTTCTTAGACTTTGGTACTGAAACACTGTCTACATTCTTGACACGTGAAAATGACGTGGCCACTTCAGTGCCTCTGCATGTTGTATAAAAGAACTCAAAAGCAAAGCAGGACAAGGACGTGTCATAACAAGAAACGGTATGCTGTACAAACAAAACCTAAATTATATATAAATACACCCCTACCCCAGCACCCCTTCCCCTCCACCCCGCGCTGCCTACTGCAATGCCAAGAGTCCTTCTCTTTAGGGCCAGTGCAATTTGGGAAGTCCAGCACCCAGAACTCTGACCATCCCTGGCCTTGTGGTCACATTTACAGTAGTGCAGGGAAACTCCTATAGCTTAACTGGAAGCATTCACACTATTGGCTGGACTCAAAGACATGGAGTTCTGGGAGTTAACCTTACAGATAAACTAACTGGATCACTTCCTAATCTGGATCCCATCTTATCCTAGTATCTCAGCAGAGCCAACCAAGTAGGAAGCATCCTCTACTCTGAAGCTGCCAAGGCATTGCTTAGGGGTACTGGTGAGGGGCACATAATAAAAGTGATACAATGAGCTAACAGCTTAAGTTGATATAAATTATTCGCATGTAAGCTATTTGGGGCCATTTGCTTCTGCTTTACACGACATTCCAGAATCATTTTCATATTATACTCTTAACAGTTTATATAATAGTCATTTAAAAATTGTCAATGCAATCGCCTCTTATGTTGTCAATTAGTTTAATAGCAACTTAATGAGCTATCATGTAAATTTTGGGAAAAGTAGCTAGTCAGTCTTAAGGAAGCCAATACTGTGCTAATTCACAGTAAGGAGGAAAAAAACAATGTAAATAGAATTTTACATAACTGTCAATAACCTGAAAAGCAACTTTTATCGAAATGTTGCAAAGCCTTCCCTAAAGCACTTACAGCAATTTCTATCAAGAGATCCCCAGTTTAAGGGCCTGGAAGATATGATTCAATTCTTTAAGGTAGAGAAATTCACCTGTTTCATAATTGTAATATGTATTTTTCCCCCCTCGGACCTAAGATATTTGTACATTCAAAGTTCATAACTTGCTGTTCTTGAGAGATTAATCATTGTTTAATACATATGTTGAGTATAAATAAATATGAGAAAGCTTTAAAAATCTGAATTAACATTATGCTGTGCAAAAAAATCCCCCCAAAACAAAAAAAAAACCAACTAAACAAACCTTGAACAACCTACATTCTATATAAGTACCCTGACTAAAATGTTGGTTGTGCTACGCGGTTCCACTTCAGTGCAGAAATGAGCTGATGTCGGCGTACCGTCTTTGTTGTTGTTGTTGTAAGTCTTTAGCACTTTTGTTTCTAAAGATCACCTTGCTTTGAAAAGATGAATAACTTGCTACCAAATCACAAATCATCACAAATCCAATTCCGTTTTATAGTCTGAATAAAATCCAGCATAAATGTATTACTTTGTTGTAGGGATAATGGCTCGGTGTCTGTTCCGACAGCTTCCTAAGGGCAAACCACGGTTGAAGTTGTCATTTTGGGTTTAAACTACACAGAAAGAAGAGACAGGGAAGCCTGCCTTTCGTTTTCTTTTTAAGTCTCCAGGATCTTGTTAAGACACTTCTTCCAGGCTCACAGTCAGAGAGTTGTGGCACCTGATCCTATTTGAAACAGAGGTGGTTTAAACAACATCAGCCAAGCTTGGTGATCTGGAGGTCCCCATTGATCTTTATGGTGTCAATTGCAGATAATGTTTCAATGCGGTGGTAAAAATCAAAAAGTTGATGTCCGTCCACAAACACTCTGAAACGTTGGTGCTCACAGAGAATTTCCACCTGCATGGGAATTATACAGAAGGCTCATTAGAACACAAGTGGCTGTGCTCCGCCCCTAAATTTTTCAATTTAGTAGGTCTAGGGTAAGGCCTAAGAATCTGCATTTCCGCCAAGTTCCAAGGTGATGCTGCTGTTGCTGGATCTAGGAATACGCTTTGTGAACCACTGTTCTACACTATTCAATACACTTTTTTAAAGATTTAAAATTGCTTATGCTTTAACATTTCTCCCTTCTCCTTGCACTCCAGAAAGTGATGTCAAGTAGCACAGATTTGTTTTTATATGGCATTTAATGCCTCCCTGTCATCCCCTGAACAATACTATCTCACCTTCAGAGCAGCCCCTCACAAAACAGAACTGGTACCATTAGTAGCAGGTAATAATAGTCTAGACACTCACACCCGGTAAACACTAAAGCAGAGAGATGGTTGGTTACACAGTAATTACCATTGGCCCAAGGATGTGTAATTAACAAGGCTTTGTTAGGCCAAACAGAAATATCTTATGGTAAAAGCTTTTTCTTCCTCTTTTCTTGAAGTAATTCACCATAGGGTTTAATCATTGGTTCTGCGCTATGTATTTATGAAAAGCATTGGTATTCACCATGTAAGGAGAGACTCCATGTGTGATATTAGTCACATTTCATTTCATATTATTACTAAAATTATCACCAAGAATGGTCGGCTACATTTCAATTTTGTTGTTGGGCAGCATTATACTCCTTTTGGCAGTCAGAAGCTCCGATTACTCACACTCATGAGCTATGCATTAAGAGTCACAATTAAGAAACTGTCACTGTCAAGAGGAGCCTAAAGGGCCATTACCATCCTAAAGGAGGGCAGGGATAATGGGTAGGGATTCCTTCCCCAGACTATGACTCAGAAGGGCAACAGTCTTAATTCTATCATTGATGTGAAAAGTCATGGATTCCTATTTACCCCCTCACCCCCCACCCCCAGACTGTAAGATGGGAAGGAAAAGAATTACTTCTTCATAAGGCCCTTGTAAATTTCTAGATGAAGAGCAACAGGTAAAGGGTAGTTCTGCTTTATTAGGTGTGTATGCAACGTGAAGCTCAGTTGTCATTTAAACTGAGTTGTCATTATTGTGATTTTTGTCAACAAGGTGTCATGTAGACAACTTCCTCACCAGGTCTGACATTTCAGTAAATCTTCTAACACACTGCTGACTTGCATCTAGTATTTGGCATTGTCCTTCATAGAGGAAAGTGCTGCTAATGCTGCTTCACTGGACGGGAAGTTTGGGCTATGCTTCCTCCCCCACAGACAGTGGGGAGCAAATCTATACTCACCCAGGCCCAAGGGAAAGAATCTGTCAGTCACACAGTTGACTTAACCCAGAGGGGGAAATAATGACATGGCCAGGATTTATTAGCAAAGGGAAAAAGAGAAAATGAAACAATAATCACTATATTCTTTAAAAGGTCATATGTAAGATTTAGTGCTCCTTAAAGGTTGAGCAAAAAATGAGGAAAATTAATATTTACTAATCAGATATTTTGGGACAGGTATCTATTATATGCCTAGTACTATGTTGAGCACTACATAGAAAAGTATTCTTAACAATCTGGACATGTAAATATAGATTTATTTACTAAACATATCTACTAAATAGAGCCAAGAGCTACCATGGCAAATGTTAATTCATGTCAGCAAACACAGCCCTTTTGATCTTTTTTCTTTTTTGCACCACTGGGTGACACATTTCCTGGACATGCAAAAATCCTGGCTGCTTAAAGTGGTCTTGGCACACTAGAGGAGTAGAACATCATTCCACGGCCAGGGTGAGAGCTGAGGCACTCGAGGTACTCACCCTGAACGGCTGGTCTGGGATGAAGGGAAAGTAAGGGATGGTTGACTGTTCTTCACCCCTTTGACCAGATATACAAGAATTTCTGAGGAGCTGCCGGTCTGAGAACACAGCTCTGAGTTCAATTGCCACATCGGCTGGAGGATCTTCTGACACACCACAGGTCAAGCTGATGGCAAAGCTGATAAGAAAATTGTCTCATTTATTCAGAGTTGGATATAACAACATTTAATAATAACCCAGGCTCCCGTATTTCCTTCTTTTTCTTAGGGGTTGTCTGCTTTTTATAGGACACTGCTCTTTACACAGGAGGTTAGGCTATGTATGGAGAAGTTGGATTAAAATCAAACTAGTTATTTTGTTACCTAACGGAGGCTCTGGTGGAGTTGAAAATGACTAACATTAGGGATTTCAGATACCCAAAACCACCCAAACATCTGTGTCTTAATCCACTTCAGAATTCTCAAAAACAATCACAGAAATTGACCAGGAGAAATAATATCCTGTAAAGTTTAGTTCTCATTTATATTGATAATTCTTGCTCCAAGCACCATGTTTAAAAACCATTAAAAAAAAAAATCCTTTGGCCTCCTTAAGGGTTTGGCCTTTGGCCTCCTTAAGGGTCAAAGAGAAAATGATGTGGGCCTATATTTATAATCTCTGATATAAATAGCTGTCTGGAGAAATGATGGCTGGGATTCATACACATTCTTTTCATGGGAACATGGTACTTTCTTGGCACTTTCAACTAGCAACACTGGCCACAGCCAGAGGAAGAGGAGGAGCAGTAAACAGGAGTGAGCAGGGCCTCCTCACTGCCTGATAGGTCTTGGGGTGAGGAGGTCTCTGCCTCTGCCTTACCTCTCAGGGTTGAGGTGAACGATGCCCATCACTAACACCTTCTTGCCTGGTCTCATGCCACCTTTAATATTCCCACAAAATGGAACTATCTGCAAAGGATGAAAGGAGAAACGGGAAGTTTACAGCCTGTAAGGGAAGAGCCAAACCCTCAGATCCTGAGGACCTGACCCACTAGAAAATGCAATTAGAACGGAAGAGGGTACAAGGCAGAGATACAGAGAACAGAACAAAATCAGTTACCAGTCGTGGGAAGTACACGTCGGCTTGAACTGGAGATCCCAAGGAGTTATTTAAATGTCCACCATCTAGTTTCTAAAAATAGAAGCACACAGATTGGCTTTCCAAAGGCTCTTGTTTTGGGGGTGCGGTGAGGGGTAAGGGAGGGAGCCGATAAGAATCTACACAAATCTGGCAGAATCCAGCAGAATACAGGCAGCGTCTGCAGATGCTGCCGCCTCACAGTCCAAAAACCTCTGGAACAAAACCCGTCCTTTGTACCCGGTAGCTAAGCCTCTGAAGATCCCTAGACTCGTCAGATCTAGATCAAAATCAAGGTCGAGGCGCACCGGGGAGCCAGAGCCCCGCGCCGTAGGAGGGCAGGCCCCTCTCCAGCCGTAAAGGCTTCTGGACCCGCTGTCACCCAGGCCTGACCTCCGGGAGGTGGCTGAAGTGGAGCGGCCGCGCTCAACTTCTCTCGGGAGCCGCCAGCGCGGACCCATTTCCAAGGGGAAATCCCCGGGACGTCCAGGGCGGACGCGGGGCGCGCGCCCCAACACACACACGCGCGCCC